CCCCCCTCAGTCCTGCGCCCCCCCGGTTGTTACAACACTGACTGAATGAGAAGGACAACCAAGCAATCTCATTTTCAGGAGTGAAGGTGAGCAGGGGAAGCCTCCATATTAGGTTTTCTTGAAATTCCCCGGGATGTCTTTGTTTATCTGAAGTAAGTCCAGCTTTGCTGAAAACTTCTGTCCTGTTAGTGAATCAACTCCATTGTGGACTTTCTGGACCATTGTGGAGGATCTCACGCTGATTGTGGCCTGTTTCTGGTGAAAGGGTCTATGGCAGGGGTGCCCATTAGGTAGAAGGTGATCTAGCAGTAGCTCACGAAGCTGATGCTGGTAGATCAGGAAGGGGGGCATGGCGGCCCCTTTATTCCATTTTGGTATATTTATTTAGCTGTGCACACATGATCACCTATTGTCTGCTGATCCGAGCTCCGTGACACCTTTCTGGTGGATACTGGAGATTGAAGTGCAATGTATTACATCAAAGAATATTAGTTTACACAGTCTGTTGCACTGCACTGTTTGCAAAATACATCAAGGTGAGCCAGGAGAGAGAGCGGGGAGAGACAGCCAGGAAAGAGAGAGAGCGGGGAGAGACAGACAGGAGTGAGAGGAAATACAGCCAGGGGATAGAGAGCAAGGAGAGACAGCCAGGGGAGAGAGCAAGGAGAGACAGCCAGGAAAGAGAGAGAGGAGAGACAGCCAGGGGAGAAGGCAAGGTGAGGCATCCAGGAAAGAGAGAGAGGAGAGACAGCCAGGGGAGAAGGCAAGGTGAGGCAGCCAAGAGAGCGAAGAGAGAAAACGAGGAATGACAGCCAGGAGAGAGAGAGCGAGGACAGACAGCCAGAAGGATGAGCAAGGAGAGACAGCCAGGAGAGAGAGAGAGTGATGGAGGTTTTTTTTTCGTTGGTAGATCTCATGTAGCTTGTCATTTGGAAAGTAGATCTTAACACAAAAATTGTGGGCACCCCTGCTGTATGGTCACCACAGCAGGCAATTGGGTTCCAGCTGTTGTCTTTTGTGGTGCAAGATAAGTCATACGAAGGACCTGCGTTGATGGGCTCAGCTTTTGGAGAAAGGTTTTGAATGTTTATTTAGCAGAGATGTAAAAGTAAAGACAGAGTAGAGAGATGAACGAGTGAGGCGGTCCTCAGAAACAAGTGAAGCGAGGACCTGGCCTCTGGGCTAGGACTGGAAGCTTTTATTTCATTCTGGACATTTGCCATGTGGGACTTCCAAAACATAAAAATGTCACATGTTACCTGAGAAATTTGCATAAGGAGCAAGTCAGCAATTACAGCAGACTTCAATTCCTGTCGTTGTGGAACGCCTTATCAACTTGACCGCGAAACCAGACTCTTGCTGTAGAACATTGAGACTGTCTCCCTACATTGCAATGACAATGCAAGTAGATGGGAGAACAACAATTCATTCCAAACAAAACTTTCTGCAAGACATTCTAGCAAGAGAACCTGTTATTATATGAAGAACATAACATTAGCATATATGCACTTATATAGTATTATTATTATTACACAGGATTTATATAGCGCCAACAGTTGGCGCAGCGCTGTACAATATAAGGAAGACATTACAATCACAATACAATTCAAGACAAGATGGTGAGGAGGGCCCTGCCCCTGAGGGCTTGCAATCTAAAAGGGAGTGATACATGAGGAGGGAGCTGTGTGGGGATGAATTGTTTGTATATATGAATTGTCTTTTCATTAGGGATGTCCCGATACCACTTTTTAAGACCAAGTGCAAGTGCTGTCCCCCATGCACTCGCCGATACCACTTACCGATACTTTTTCTCTAAGAGACATGTCACGTTTTTTTCTAAAACACAGACTGACACCAGGGCTAAATACGGATGTCACCAGAACTGAATACATGTCACCAGAACTGAACACATGTCCCTAAAGCCGAACACATTTCACAACAGCAGAACACATGTCCCTTATGCAGAATATTATTCTGCTTTGGGAACATGTATTCTGCTTTGGGAACATGTGTTCTGCAAATACATGTCTCCAAACCAGAATTCCTCTCACCAGGCTGCGTGGACAGCTGCAGTGGCTCTGCGGGCACTCCACCTCACCTGCAATGTCGGGACCCGGCCTCCCCCACGTCTTTCCGGCCGACTCTCTCTGCTGCTGGGCCCCGCGACTTTCGTCCATATCCCGGCCCAGTCGTCCCCGTCAGTATGCAGCAGGAACCCCCAGCTTCTAGCCCTGGGGCGGTAGCTCCGCCCCGGGGCTGCTAATGGCTGTGCCTGTGCCGGGAAGGAGAAGGAGATAAAGAACCGGACAGGCACTGCCATGGACAGCTATCTGCAGGTCCCCAGCAGGCTGCCGAGGTCCCCGCAAGCGCGGGAACTCGGACGGCCGCTGCTATTTGAAAATGTAAAAGGCCGGTATCGGCCTTAAGAATCGGGGCATTTTCACGAGTACAAGTACTCCTGAAGATGCCTGGTATTGGCCCCAATACCGATACTAGTATTTCATCATTACTAAAACATACAATAATTATTTTTCTTCATCAGAGATGCAAAACCAGCTTGATGTAGGTAGGAGGTCAGCGGCAGGTTAGGAGCAGGTCAGTGGCGGGTTAAATGAATTAATCTCACATGCAAGTGGAATGTTCCCAAAAGCAAGCTGCCCATCAATACAATCCCAAAGCCCGCCGACTCATGCCCTAGAAGCAGACATCTGATAGGTTGTACGGACAATTTGTCCATATGCCGGTGCGACTGTACCTCCAGTACGTGTCATTGTGTGTTTTCAGGACTGAACTCAGAAAAGCCATGCAGCATTCATGTTGTGGCCTTGGCAATAGGACAGGAAATTAAACCGGACTCTTAAACAGTTTATTAACTTGAGTCGCCTTCAGATGTATTAATTGGTCTTTTTAGTGTTTGTTGTTTCAGCTGTAAATATATAGGTTCGGAAATTAATTTGAGATTAGCTGGCAAAGGTGGCGCGGAGGAGGAGGGAGTTTTTCCGCGACAGATAATTGCAGCCTGGGCTGATCTGCAGAGTAAACATAGCACCCTTCATGCAAGAGAAACGCAGTGTACGAATGTAATGCTGCCCAAGAGTTACGTTTTATTTGGGTTATCGTTTGAAACATAACGCAGATATTA